AGTGATACTGATTACCTGGCAGCATGCCCCCAAGAGAGAGGAAGGTGAGGCTGCCAGTCCTCGGGCCTGGGCTCAGGAGTCCCGGAACTTTCTACCACCTTAAATGCATCAAAACAGTCACAGGATTGCTGTGGGTGGAGCATCACACACTCACAGGGAGGGAAGGATTGATGGTATCAATGTGAGAACCTACCACGCCAGCCAACAACAGCAGAACCAACCATCTGAGCCCAATCTAGATTACAGAATCATGAGAAAATAAATAGCTTTTGTTTTAAGCCACTAAGTTTTGGGGTGGTTTATTATGCAGCAATAAATAACTGCAACAGACATTGGTACTTAGAAGTGAGGCACTGCCATTCCAAAATTCTAAAATATGGCACTGACTTTGGAACCAGGCGGCAGGAGGACACAGGCAGGGCAGTGAGAACATTGCTGTTGAAGGTTGGAGAAAGGCTGACCCATGTTGGGTATTAGCAGAAAAATGGCGAAACCATTGCCTGTAGTAATGTGGAAGACAGAGAATGTATCCAACAATCTGATTTTCCTGGCAGAAAGCTTAAAGGGCCAGTTGACTTCTTTCAGTTGTTTGTGATACAGTGAAGGAAAAGAGAAAGGAAGTAAAGAAGTAACTGTTGCATGTTCCAGCAGAAGTTAGAGGAAATAATTTCAAAGCCAAGTCTTGCTGAGTTGGAAAATAAAAACTATTTCTCATTCCCAAGCCTTTCCAGGCAGCAAGAGTTTCCCAAGGTGAGCGATGGTGTCCTGACGGAAATCAAATCCAGGATCCTGCCAGCAAAACACGGCCTCAGGGTTAAAACAAATTTAAGGGTGTGGCTGTATGATCCCTTGTTAAGACCTCTGAAAAACTGGGGGGGGAGGGGTCCTTGTAGACCCTGTCAGCCATACAAAAGCGCTTCTGAGGATCTTGAGGTCATTGTCCCACAGCCCTTGACTTGTAGCCCGTGGTAGAGAGGAGCCTTCTCAAAGACATTTGCAGTGTAGCTTTTGTCTAATGAAGTGAGTTTTAATTTGATACATAGAAAATTCCACAAAGTTTTTTTTTTAAGGGTTGTATCTGCTTGAACTAAAATGGACAAGAGTTTGAAATAGAAGAGGCCTCTGGGCCGCCAACTTTCTAGAGGCGAGAAGCTGAGGAAGCTACTCAGCTGCAAAAATGGGCCATTTCCTACGGAAAAGGGAGGATGACCAAGAGTGCAGGGCCAAGAGCCCAGAAGGAGAAGCCAAGCACTGCTAAAAGAGTAGATTAGGGAACCACCTGCAGGGAACAGACAGGCCTGATCAAGGAACACTGTGACAGATGCCTGGCTGAATTAAAAATTGCTATGGGGGCTGGCCCGATGGTGCAGTGGTTAAGTGCGCATGTTCCGCTTCAGCAGCCCAGGGTTCGCCGGTTCAGATCTCGGGTGCGGACATGGCATGGCTTGGCAAGCCATGCTGTGGTAGGCGTCCCACATATAAAATGGAGGAAGATGGGCATGCATGTTAGCTCAGGGCCAGTCTTCCTCAGCAAAAAAGAGGAGTATTGGCAGCAGATGTTAGCTCAGGGCTAATCTTCCTCAAAAAAAAAAAATTGCTATGGAACACTGACTACAGAGTGTACTCCTCCTTTTTGAACAAGGTGTCTATTCAGTTATCCTGTCCTCCACCATAGAATGTTGGGTATGGGGGGAGGCAGATAACATGCCTCTGGAGCAAAAGGGTGCCTCATCCTGAGGTGCCTCATCCACAACTGGCCCTGTTGCATATCACAAAATACTGGACTCTAAGCCTAACCCCTTTTCTTATTATTTTTTTTTCCTTTTTCTCCCCAAAGCCCCCCAGTACATAGTTGTACGTTCTTTGTTGTGGGTCCTTCTAGTTGTGGCATGTGGGATGCCGCCTCAGCATGGTTTGATGAGCAGTGCCATGTCCGCGCCCAGGATTCGAACCAACAAAACACTGGGCCGCCTGCAGTGGAGTGTATGAACTTAACCACTCGGCCACGGGGCCAGTCCCTAAGCCTAAGCCCTTGACGAGATGGTAACACTGGGGGTCTTAGCAGGCACAGTGTGCAATCTTCACATGGGAAGAGCATGGATCATTAGGCGCCAGAGGGCGGACTGGACAGGCTGTTCCACTGGCAGCTCTCCAATGAACCACACTTCCCAAGCCCCCCAATGAACTTGTGCTCTTGTGCACAGCCCTCCTACATCGATTTTGGGCTTGCCCACATGACTTGCTTTGGCCTGTGAGATACTAGAAGCATGATTCAAGCAGAGACCCAATAAATGCTTGCCCAATGGCACTTGTCACATACAGCACAGCCTCCAAGCTGCAAGGAAGCCTTCCCATCCTGCCTGGCCATGTGGGGAAATCATGGATAATAAGCCAACACACAGAGAGAGGTTACATGGAAGAGAAATGAGGTGCTCCAGTCAAATTCCCAGCTGATACCATGTGGAACCGAAGATCCCTAGTTAATCAGAATTGTGAGAAATTATAAATCAACATTCTTTTAAGTCACTAAGTTTGGGGTGTTTTGTTACACATTGGTAGATAACTGAAACATATGGTGGTCACCGACAACTGCAGCTCTCTCACAAGCTCAAATCTACACATCTTTGACCACCACCTCCTGTCCTAGCTCAGTCCCTCTAGCGCCCTGACTCCTGTTTTCAGTAAAAAACACCTCAGGAGAATTGTCTGTCTCATGGTCTACAGTTGTCTCCTTCTACTCCCTCTTAACCTATTCAGGGACTCATTCCCCCACCACACACACCATCAAAATCGTGCTTGTCAAGGTAACTAATGCCCTTGTGTTGTGTTGCTCAATCTATTGATTAACTCCCAATCCTCACCTTCCAGGACCTCTCAGCAGCATTTGACATGCTGAGCCCTCCCTCTACCACATGTGCTGTCTTCTCTGGGCTTCTGTGCCACCGCCCCCCCTGGTTCTCCTCCTACATCTTCTTTCTCCTGGCTGGCTCCTCCTCTTTCTAGCCTCTCTTCCCCTTAACATGGGAGTATCAGGGCTCAGTCTTTGACCTCTCTTTATCTGCATTTTCTCCCATGATGATCTCATCCAGTTGTGTGGCTTTAAATACAACAAATATGCTAATGAATGCCAAATTTATATCCCCAGGCTGGACATCTCCCCTGAATTGTATACTCATATATTCAACTGTTTGTAACCTTAACATGTAGCATGAGTGAGAAATACATTCTTATTTTGCTAAGCCACTGAAAATTTGGGAGTGTTTGTTACTGCAGCATAACCAGGGCTACCCTAGCTGTTACAGAACACTACCACCATGTGTGTCCAAACACCATCATTTCTTGGCTTTAGCCCTTGCATTCATTTCCTAAACAGCCTTCCAGTCTTTCCCAGTATAAACTATGGTCTCCATCAGCCAGCGTGAGTCATTGAAAGGCTACTCCCCTGTTCAGATCCTCCAACGTCCTCACTTCTTTCTGAGGTCAAAGTCCTCACAGAGCCTACATGACCCCCATTCCTACCACTCTGACCTTGTCATCTGTTGCTCTCCTTCACTCCAGTCTGGTCACAATTCCACTGCTGTCTGAGGCCTCCTCTGCTCACCACCTTCACTAGGACCCCAACCCCCTAACGCTTATCTACTTGTTTCTGCCATAGCATTGATCACTTTCTAACATGGTCCTCACCATGGGCCTTGTCTGCCTCCCTCCCTGGAATACAAGGAGTTTTTAATTTGTCTTGTGCACTAGTGTAGAGTAGTTTCAGTGGGTAGGGGGTGAAAGCCCAGCTGGAGTGGTTGCCAGGAGACATGGCTGGTGGGCAGAAGGGCACCCACAGCCATCAGGCCCTGGAGCTCCTGTTTCGGAAAGACCTGGACCATTCGGCGCCCTGGCGCCTCGCCCCATCTGTTAAGGAGCTTGAGGCCCCGGGAAGGTGGGTGCAGCCTGAGGATGGGCAGGGTGAGGGAGCCCAGGGCCCCGCGGTCCTGAGCCTGGCCCCGTGGTGAGGACGCGGCGGGCGGCCGGGGAGAAGGGCGCTCAGGCGCTCGCCAGCGGGCCGCGCTCCAGGTGGGGCTCGGGCCACCTTCCCGCGTCGCGCAGGCACTGCCCCGGCCGCTACTCCGCAGCGGCCCGCGGGCTCTGGGCCCGACCCCGCCCCGCGCCTCCTGCCCGGCGCCCTGGGCACGGGGAACGAACCTAGGGAGCCGCAGCGGGTCCCGCCCAGAGCCCACCTGCAGGGCCCCTGCAGCCCGCGCCGGGGCGGAGACGGGCGGGGGCCGCCGGGGCCGGGGCCAGGAGCGCCGCCGCCCGCACAAAGCTTCCCGCGAAGCTGACGTCGCGCGGGGCGGCCGCGCAGGCACCGCCCCCGGCCGCGCCCCTCCCCCGCGCTCGCCCTGCTCCTCAGCGCGCAGGCGCACTAGCCCTCCTCCCATTGGCTGCGGCGCGGCGGCGCGCGGCGGCCGGCGCAGGACGCGCCCCGCGATTGGCCGGGCGGCGGCGGGCGGGGGTGTGTCCGCGCCGCGCCCCGCCCTCGGCCCCGCTCGCGGTGGTGCGCGCGGCGGCGGCGGCGGCGGCGCGTGGCAGGTCCGGCGGGCGCGAGGCGGCGGCGGCCCGCGTCCGGCCCAGCCTCGTCCGCCCGCCCGCCCGCCGGCCCCGGCCCCGGCCCCGGCCCGCCCGCTGGCGCCCCGCGGCCCCGACCCGGCCCCGACCCGGCGCCTCCCGAGGGAGCGGCGCCGCCGGCCGAGCGCAGGCCCGGCCATGACCGACTTCAAATTGGGCATCGTGCGGCTCGGCCGGGTGGCTGGGAAGGTGAGCGGCGCGGGGCCGGGGGCGCGGGCTCTGGCCGGGGCCGGGGGCCCGGGCGCCACGGGCGCGGGGGCGGGCGGTTGTGCGGCCGGCGGGCCGGCGGCGTGTCCCTGCGGGGCGGCCCTCCTCGGGCCGCAGCCTGGGGCTCGGGCCGTGTGCCTTGGCCGGGGGAGGTGGGGGCTGTCGGGCTGCACCTGCGGCCGCGGGGAGCGCTGCGTCCGTCCGAGGCGGCGCGCTCGCTCCCTGCCAAGACGCGGTGTGCGCGCCGCTCCGTGCCTGCCGGTCGGCGGTGGAGCTTCGCGCAGGTTTCACCCTGCCAGCGGTGGCCACGTCTGGCTGAGCCTCAGTGGCCCTCGCCAGAGTAGGGCCTCCCTCTGCTCTTCTCCCTCACCTGGCCCCGCCCTCCGTGTGTTCGAAGCTGGGGCTTCTGGCACCTGTGGGCATCCAGGCTTGGCTGTTTCCAGGAGCCGGCCGGCCGTGCTGCTGCACCAGCCACGGACCTTACCTTGGATGGGAACACTGTTCCCATCACCAGCGGCGGAAGCTTCTGGTGGGAGAGAGGAGCAGAGGCAGTCAGATGAAGGTAAAACCGATTCAGATCCTAGAAGAAAAGCTTTCCAAGCACGAGTGAGATTAAGAGTGAGACTGGTCGGTTTGGGACGTTTTCTGCCTTTCCTGCAGAGGAATGTGGCTTTCTAACTAGGGAGAATGGGCTTCTTTCAGCGTTGAGACCCTTTCTGACTCAGTGACTGGTTGCATTAATGTCGTCCTTTAAAACTTTTATCTGGAATGTTTCAGACAGATAAAAAAACAAAAAAAAGACAATTTAGTGTGCACCTGTGTCTCAATCACCTACCTTAATAAATAAACATTAACGGAAGTCTTTTGGATGTTCTGCCTCAATACTGGTCCCCTCGCTCTACTCCAGTGAAGCCATCATCTTGGACTGGGTTTATTGCCACATTAAAACGCACAGCGTAGAGGTTGGCCAGTTCAGTGCCATTTCTTATGGTTAGTCTCATGCAGATGGGAAGTGACGCCCACTACCAGCTCCTCTGGTTCGGTCTGGAGTGAGGAATGACCACCTTTGGCACATCTCCCTGCTCCTTGGGGTAGACTGCCCCGTGCCCCTCACCTGCTGATCTCTCTCTGTGTGAAGGGGCCATTTCTGCCTGTTACTAATACCTTGCACTGACCCCAATTTGTAACTTTTTGAAACGTTAATTTCCAGACCAAGTACACACTGATAGATGAGCAAGACATCCCGCTGGTGGAGGGCTACTCCTTTGAGGTAAGGATGGCCGTCCCTTTGCCTGGGGAGGGTCGCAAGGGATGGGTTTTCTTGCCTGTGCTGTGAGGGCAGGACCATGCCTGTGAGCTGGCCCATGAAGCCTGTTGAGCCCGAGGCCTCTGCAATGCTGGCCCTGACCCGCCCCTGCCGGGTTGCTGGCTCTTCCTAGAAAACAGACCACACTGTGTCATGTTTGTGGCTGACTGTTCAATGGGACAGCCCCCCTTCTGGTGCCACCCCACCTCTCCTCTGGTGTTGGCCCCGTGTCCTCGCCACCCTCTGTCTGTGTGAGCCTCCCTGCCCTTGCCTCTTGTCTGCTTGATGACCTGCTCCTTCCCTTCCAGCCTCCAGGAGTCTGGGGCCACCATGCCTTTACTTCAGCTCTTCCTGCTCTTACGGTAGTTATTCAGTCAGGGATTTCTCTCTTTCAGTGGATTGTGGGCTTTCTTTAAGCGCAGAAAGCTTATTTCTCTTTCCATGGTGTTGTGCAGAGTGGTTCACGAGTGTGTCTTACTTGAATGCAGGCGAGTACTTTTTGGGATGTGTTGGCTTCTTGGTGCCGTGTGTGGGAGCCTCCTCAGACCCCCAGCTTCCCAGGAACCGGCCTGGCATTTTCCCCTCTGGCTTCTTTGTTTCACTTGATTTTTCTGAGAGGGATTTGAAATGTTGCCGAGAATCAGAGGTTTTTTAGCAGGACTGTTCCTTGTCTCTTCTCAGGCCCGGATGGATGTCGATGCGGATGGAAATGGTGCTAAGATATTTGCATATGCCTTCGACAAAAACCGAGGAAGGGGGTCTGGAAGGCTCCTTCACGAGCTGCTTTGGTGGGTATTTTTGAGCTGTTTGTTTCCTGCCTTGGGTCCTACATGAGCCCTGGTTCCCACAGGGTGTGTGGGGACAAGTGGTGTTCTCCCCAAGACCCCCAGTTACTTTTGCATCATTTCCACTGACCCAGAGGAATGACTGATTTGAATCTCACGGCACTCAGTCTTCACACATCAGGTGGGCTTTCTGCTCTCATGCTCACTCTGGACACAGAGGCTTTTGCTGAGCCTGTTGGTGGGATGTGGGGAAGGGGCTGCTTGTCCTCAGTGTGCATGGTGGAGTTTGGAAATGCCTGGGGCCACTCAGTCGGGCAATCTCTAGGCTGTGTTAGATGGTGTGGGGTTGCATCCTTGGCTCCCTGCAGCCCAGCTCTTGAATCCAGGGGCTGAGTGGTCAACGTGCTCTGCCCTGTTTGGGGCACAGACTGACATTCGTGGATTCCTCTTGGCACCCTTGCTCCTGACACGTCTTCATCAATGTGATGAGGAGCCCATTCAGGTCATGTGACTGAGATGTCTAGGGGCCAGAGGAGGCTGACCTAGAGAGCTGTCTGTTTCCTAGGGAGCGGCACCGGGGAGGCATTGCTCCCGGGTTTCAGGTGGTGCATCTCAATGCTGTGACCGTGGACAATCGCCTGGACAACCTGCAGCTGGTGCCGTGGGGCTGGCGGCCCAAAGCCGAGGAGACCTCCAGCAAACAAAGGTGGGTCTTCTGAGGGCTGGTGATGCTGGCAGTGGTGCGCACCCCCAGCTGATGTTGCCCAGAGGGGTCATTGTCTCTGCTTTGTGCTCTGATGCTTCTGTGGGTTTGGGGACCTTGGTTATTTCCCTTCAAAGTGTGGGGTTCTCCTCTTCTTCTTTGGGGCAGGATGAGATTTTGATGCTTCTTTTTTGGGGTTGGTTTTCTGATGCTTAGCTTTAGCAAGAACGGTTGTGTGGGCAGGACTTCTGCTCCATGCTCCTGGGAGACGTTGGACATCTGTCTCAGGGGTGCCCCTTGTGCTCTTGTGTTGAACAGTTTGCCTAAGCAGTGGTCTAAAGGGAGCAGGACAGTGTGGTTCGGGGCTCAGCCACCTCCTCTCCACAGTCCTGGAGACAGTGCTTCTGCCCGGGATGGCACAGGCATCCCACCTGGGCAGGTAGGATGCTTGAGGGGAGTTCCCGAGGCCCCAGGAGCAGTCCAACTGTGAGCTTCAAGGAGCCCTTGGAGAGGGCTGGGGGGCCCGCGCAGCGCAGGTGGCAACAGTGGGATCACTCAGCCAGCCACGCTTGGTGGTGAGGCGACAGTCCCCAGCCTATGAGAAGGCTATGCCCAGACCGACGCTGCTGCAGCTCTGGAGGGTATCCTGTGCTCCACACACCCATCATTTCCTACATGGCTTTGGCAGGGTGAGGGGACCAGGGGCTGGGGTCTCTGCTCTGATGTTAAAAGTTTGACCCTACAGTTCTCTCATGCTGCTCTTGAGGGAAGCTGACCTTTTTATAACAGTTGAGTAGGATTTTTATCTTCCTGGGGCTTATGTTAGTCTGGACTTTTGGTTGCAGGTGCCAGTTTGGCTGAAGCAAAACCAGGGCACTTATGGGCTTCCCCCAGCTGAGACATAGAAAGCCACAAAGGCAGCACCTCCAGTTATTCCTCTGGAGTAGCCACCTGAGCAGCAGACTCGCCTTCCACAGGTGGAGTGTTCTGTGGCATCGAGGAAGTCCTAGGGTCAACTCTGGTTAGCTTACTTCGAATCACTTTTTACCCCAGAGTTGGGGACGGGAGGGCTCTGTCATCAAACAGAACGAAGATTGTGTCATCAACAGAAGAGTAAGGGCAGCTGAGGAGGCAAACCAGTATCCACACACTTCACCCTGGGTGGTCCAACAGTGTAGATGCCGGGACCTGCCCTTCTGACTCCACGCAGGTGTCCTTCAGTGTGGATGCCAGGACCTGCCTCTCTGACTCCTCGCAGGTGTCCTACTGCCCATCCTTCACCCAGCGACGGAGCCCCTCCTTCCGGGATCTGGGCTGTGAAATCTCTCGTTTGAGGCAGGTCTCCATGTGACTCATGGGCTGGCCAGTCTGTGGCTGATTGTCACGTCTACTCATTTGAACACTCTTCGTAGTCGTGAGATAAGATATCCACTACTACGAACATCTGTTTGGGTGGAATAGGGCTGAATATTTGGTACTAAAAAGGGTGTCCCCTCCTAATCTCTTCCCCAACCCAAACTAGCTGTCTGTCCAGTGCTGTCCCTTCCTGCCCCTGCCTCTGGCCCAGCCTCCCGCCTTATGGGCCCCAACTGGTGGGCTCTGTGAACGACCCACGGGAGGGAGCCTCGTGAATGTGGCCTTGGGGCTGGTCCTGGGCCTCCTACGAGTGGCTTGGAGGAGAATGAGGCAGCCAAACTACAGCCCACCAGAGAATACCGGACAGGGTAGCCCTGGCGTATAACTGACTCTTTTCCAAACAAGCGTTCTTTTTTTTTTTCCCCTTTTTCCATTTTTTTGTTAATCGAATGATACAAAACAACCATCATTCTGTAAATGCCCAAGCCCCCAGCTGGTCCTCCTTCCCAGAGTCACACCCTACTCAGCCTCTCCCCAATCCTGCTGTCTCTCTTCCCCTGCCCTAGCCCAGGGACAAAGTCCTGGCAGGAGGCTGGGATGGGCATTACATGTGCTTCCATTTTTCAGCGGGTGGCCTCCACACAGCTGGTTCTTTTATTTTTTAACTGAAATTTAATTTAATTTAATTTTTTTGGTGAGGAAGAGTGGCCCTGAGCTAACACCTGTTTTTGCTTGAGGAAGATTGTCCCTGAGGTAACATCTGTGCCAGTCTTTCTCTATTTTTTGTACATGGGATCCTCCCACAGCATGGCCTAATGACTGGTGTGTAGGTCCACACCTGGGATCCAAACTCGCAAACCCTGGGCCACCAATCTGGAGCGCACGCTCTTAACCACTATGCCAATGGGCCAACCCCCAAGGCTGGTTCTTGTAGTGGGGACCACCCTGTCTGTGAGAAGCCCCCCAGCTTCTCCTAGGCCTGCATCTTCCACTCTGCTTTCCTGGCATCACTTTGGTGTGGGGCCTCTAGGGCAGCTCAGTAACAGGTGGTAGGACCTCTTTGCAAAGGTTCCTTTTCCTGCCTTTCTGCCTTTGAAGGCTGGCTGGGGCAAGACCTTGCTTCTTATAGGACTTCATTGAAGGGCTCAGAAAGTGGCCAGATCCTCCTACGTCCCGACTCCCCTTTTTGTCTTTAAGAAAAATTATCTATTTATTTTATTTTTTTGAGGAAGATTAGCCCTAAGCTAACATCCGTGCCCATCCTCCTCTACTTTATATGTGGGACACCACGACAGCATGGCTCAACAAGCAGTGTGTAGGTCTGCATCTGGGATCTGAACTGCTAACCCTGGGCTGCCGAAGTGGAACATGTGAACTTAACCACTGTGCCACCGGGCTGACCCCTAAAAAAATTTTATTGTGGTAGAATACACATAACATTTATGATCTTGACTGTTTCTAAGTGCACAGTTCTGTGGCATTTAGTACATTCACGTCACTATACAGGCATCCCCATCATCATCTCCAGGACTTTCTCATCTTCCCAGACTGAAGCTCTGTCCCCATTGAACACTCACCCCCTCCCCTTCCCCAGCCCCCGGCACCACCCCACTTCCTGTCTGTATGGATTTGACTCCTCTAACCTTGCATGAGTGGAGTCCTACAGGATTTGTCCTTTTGTGTTGGCTCTTTTCAGTGAGCACGATGTCCTCAAGGTCTTTCCCTGTCGTAGCACATGTCAGGATTGCCATCCTTTCTAAGGCTGCATAATATTCCACTGTGTGGATAAACCACATTTTGTTAATCCATTCACCCGTTGATGGACACTTGGGTTGCTTCCACGTTTTGGCTGTTGTGAATAATGCTGCTATGAACGTGGATGTCCTATGAACAGGGTCTTTGAGACCCTGGTTTCAACTCTTTGATAGGTGCTCGGAAGTCGGATTGCTGGATCATATATAAGTGCTATTTTTAGTGTTTTGAGGAGCTGCCATCCTGTTTTCCACAGCAGCTGCACCACTTTGCATTCCTACCAATAGTGCACGGGGTCCCAGTCTCTCACCTCTGCGCTAGCACTGCTTTTCTATTTGTTTGTTTGGGGTAGCCATCCCAATAGTGTGAGGTGGGACCTCATTGTAGCTTTGATTTGCATTTCCCTGATGATCAGTGATGTTGAGCATCTTTTCATGTGCTTCTTGGCTATTTGTGTATTTCTTTGGAGAAATGTCTATTCAGGTCCTTTGCCTGTTTCCTAATTGGGTTATTTGTGTTTTTTTTAAGATTTTATTTTTCCTTTTTCTCCGCAAAGCCCCCTGGTACATAGTTGTATATTTTTAGTTGTGGGTCCTTCCAGTTGTGGTATGTGGGATGCCACCGCAGCATGGCCCAATGAGCGGTGCCATGTCTGTGCCCAAGATCCGAACCGGCGAAACCCTGGGCCAATCCTGGGCTGCCGAAGCGGAGCATGCAGACTTAACCACTCGGCTACAGGGCCAGCCCCGGCTTATTTTTTTTCTTGTTGAGTTGTAGGAGCTGTCTGTATATCCTGGATATCTCTTATCAGATACACGATTTGCAAATATTTTCTCCCATTCTGCTTGTTGCCTTTTTACTCTGGATAGTCTTTTTAAAAATTTTTTATTGAGGTTATGATAGTTTACAACATTATGAAATTTCAGTTGTACGATATTATGTCAGTCATCTTCACCCTTTGTGCCTGCCCCCCACCCCGCTTCCCCCCTGGTAACCACTAATCTCTTAGTCCATGTGTTTATCTTCCACATATGAGTGGAATGATGCAGAGTTTGTCTTTATCTGGCTTATTCCGCTTAACATAACACCCTCAAAAGTCCATTCATGTTGTTGCAAATGGGGCACTTTTGTCCTTTTTTTATGGCTGAGTAGTATTCCATTGTATGTACATACCACATCTTCTTTATCCAGTCCTCAGTGGATGGGCACTTGGGTCACTTCCATGTCTTAGCTATTGTGAATAAGGCTGCAATGAGTATAGGGGTGCGTGAGTCTCTGAATCATTGATTTCAAGTTCTTTGGATAAATACCCAGTAGTGGGATGGCTGGGTCTTGTGTTATTTCTATTTTTAATTTTTTGAGAAATCTCCATGGTGTTTTCCACAGTGGCTGCACCAGTTTGCATTCCCACCAGCAGTGTATGGGGGTCCCTTTTTCTCCACCACCTCTCCAACATTTGTTATTTTTGGTCTTGGTAATTATAGCCATTCTAATGTATGTCAGGTGATATCTTAGTGTAGTTTTGATTTGCATTTCCCTGATGATCAGTGATGATGAGCATCTTTTCATGTGCCTAATGGCCATCCATATATCTTTTTTGGAGAAATGTCTGTTCATATCCCCTGCCCATTTTTTGATCAGGTTGTTTGATGTTTTGTTGTTGAGTTGTGTGAGTTCTTTATGTATTATGGAGATTAACCCTTTGTTGGATATTCGGTTTGCAAATATTTTTTCCCAGTTGGTGGGTTGTCTTTTCGTTTCAATCCTGTTTTCCCTTGCCTTGTAGATGCTCTTTAGTCTGATGAAGTCCTCCTTTTTATCCTTTCTGTTGTTTCCTTTGTCCAAGAAGACATGGTGTCCAAAAAGATCCTTTTAAGACCGATGTCAGGGTCTGA